AAAATGAAAGAACCCCTCTTGTTCTAACTTCCTCAGGGATCTTAAGCCTCAATATTATTGGTACAACAACTGTGCAAGTTAGTACAAACTCAGCCCACCATTCTGTAACCTCACCAGTCCTAATGATATTTTGAAATAGCTTTATTGGAATTCTTACCCTTAAGATCTTTAGGGATTTGGGTTGAGTTACTTCCCAGTCATATAGAAGTTTATCTTCAAGTCTCCCACCCAGTAACTGAACTTGTACAGATCGTTCCTTTTCACAGGCACTTGTCCTTTTGCTGAAAGTGGAGTATAAGCTGCTTCTCTTAAGTACCTCTTATAAGTGGAGTTTTAAACCTATCAAAGAGAAATGTCACAGGAGACCTACAAAAGGATAAACATGAAGAGTAGTAAACCTGTAAGTGGTTTGGGAATGCACATAGTAGCATATTTAAAATGTTTCTTTTCTGCTTATGTCATTAAATGTTGGGGATAACTGTAACACAAGTTCTAGTAGATATTAATTTTGAAAGCCTGAGTCAGATATTAGGGGTGAAAGCTGAAAGATCAGAGAAACAGATCTTCCAGCCACTAGTGCTCTTACCTGTATGAAATCCTCAGACTTAAAGAGGGAGTTACTGTCTCATCCTGCCTATATACCTCTCTCTGCTACTCATCTCACTTTCTGTCTGTTTGTACAGACCTCCAGACCTCTATTAGTTAGTGGCTAACTCTACCCTCTGATCTTCAGGCAAGCTTTATTTGTTAGAGTATAAACAATGTATTACCACAGAGAACCTTATGATAGTTTACTTACATATACACAGAAGTTTCACATCCTGTTCATGTGTAGTGCCTGAGAATGTTCTTCTTTCCCTCTGAATATTTGAGTGAACTTTGGTAATTTTCTCATTTTAACACAGGTGCTAGTGTCCTCTGTTACCTTGTCTTAAAGTATCTTTAAGAAAAGTAAGTTTCTTAACTTTTTATTGGGAATATGGTGTGAGTGTGAGAATTCTGTGATAAATAGAACAGTGTAAGTAATAGTAAAGGGAAGATGTGGTAAATTGTGACTTGATATGACCAATAACCAAGAAGGTAGAAGGGTAGGCTCAGATGGGACCTATGATCCTTTGAGGAAGGGAACATTGTTACAGCAGTGAAAGACTTGATAGGCCCCATGTTTACATTCCTGTTTTTAAAATTGATCTCTATGGCTGAGGAGTGGAGATGCATGGGGGAAGCCTGCAGGTGCTAAATATGTACATGGGGCAGACTGTGTTCACAGTTTCATTCTTGAAAGAGATTCTGTCTGAGTGGGGAAGTCTGTGACTACTAGTTGTATAAAGAGAACCGGCTTTTGGACAAGGCAAGTAAGGAGCAGCACTTAGAGAAGGCAGTGGCACCAAAGAAAAAGAAGATTTTAAGTTTCTTTGGAATTCCTAGTTTTCAGGAATTTCTTTGTCTTCTATACCCCAAAGGGTTGTTTCTGTCACCAATGTAGTTGTGTAGTTCCCTTTATGCTTAGCACTTGCTAGTGGACCTGGCACACATCTTCCTATTCTATTGTAAGATAGTTTATAAGTTTGAATATGTCATACTTAACTGAAATATTTGTTGAAAAATTTTAAAAAATTGTGTGTGAATGGTGTCTCTGTGTGTATATGCGTGGTTGTGTGTGTGAGTGTAAGTGCACATGTAACAAGGCAGGTATGTATGCATTGGAGTACAAACTCAGTTTTTGGTCCTGGGCTTCTGCTTTAAGACAGGTTCTATCTTGTTTACTGCTACCCATACCTGGCTAGTTGGCCTGTGAACTTCTGGAGATCCCCTGTTTCTGTATGTTATCTTACCATGGGAGTACTGAGATTATAAATGGGTGCTACTGTAGCTGGGTGTTTGTGACTTCTGGGGATCCAAACTCAGGTCCTCATGTTTGTATGGCAAGTACTTCAACCTTTCAGCCGTTTCCTTAGTCCATATTTGAGATTTTGCACATGCTATTTCTAACACTAATAGGAAGTTAATGTGTATTACGGTTATCTTATCAGTGAGAATAAAAAGACACTAGGTGATCCACCAAGTACTCTAGGTTGAATACAAGTTGATTTTGGAGAGAACAGTCCCCAGGTCTGCCTGCTTCTGCTCCCAGTGCAGGTAAATAGTGCATGTAAAAGTTGTTGTGAGTGATAGTTTCTGGAGAAAAGCTTATCACAGAGCTAAAACACACATTTTGTACAAGAGAATTGGAGCCATTGTGCTCCCGCCCCCCAGCCATATTAAGTAGTTGACTAAAGAGAGGAGCCTTAGGAAGGCTTCTGACAACCATAAAATTCCAAACATGGAAATGATGCCTTTGTTATACAAAGCATTCGTTCCAGCATTAAATAATAAAATAAACTCTCAACACCAAGAATGGAAATGATCACTGTTAAACTTGTCTGTTTACTCAGAACTAATCCCAGCCCTGTGAGTAGCTCAGTGGTATATGTTTTATCCTGAAGAACCAAGGGGCTCTCCAAGATTTCATGTCCAGGGCTAGGCAGCAATTAGGTTGGCTCTGTACCAATTCCATGGGGTCAAAGTTTCCAAACTTGCCTTGTGGCCACAATGACATGTACTTTTTGATCACTGTAACTTTTGCATTTGCTGTGTCAACTGTTACTTTTCTGACTTGAATTTTTTTCTGTGAAACACTAGTCTGCAAAATAAGAGGATTCTTCCTGTGGAGGAGAGGAAAAAAAATTGTATCTTCTCTCAAAGTGTTCTTCAACTTTTCATGGTTTTTGTTTATATTTTTCTCTGTAAACTTATGATTTGTTTACTAATCCTTCTGTTATATTTTTTGTTGTACTGGGGATTGAATTTAGGGCTTGGACATGCTATGCAAACACTTTATCACAAAGAGTCCCAGCATTTTCTTCACTTTTTATTTTGAAATAGGGTCTTTACTATGTGTAGGTCAGACTGGCTTTGAACTTGTTATCCTCCTGGCTCAGCTCCCTGAATAGCTAGAATTCTAAGCCTGCACCACCAAACCCAACTGAATCACTTATCTTTGTTTAAAAACAAGCAAAGAAACAAACAAAAAACTATACTGCTTATAGTAGAAGTGTTGGAGTACTTAAGAACAGGAGCATTTTTCTTGAAATTAATGGTTGTTTTAAGAGATCACTTTTCATTTATCCTTGCTGGGGTTAAAATTTCTGCACTGACTTCTTTCATACTTTCTTATTTGTGCTTATGAGTATCTTGGGTATTAAAAGATGAAAAGTATGCTATTTGGAATTTTTTGTGGGAAATAAACAAGTAATTCTATGGTTCAAGGCTTAATGTGAGGAGCCACTTTTTGGAAGAGCAAACCTCTTTAGATACACATTTAGAATCAGCAAAATTGCTTATTGCCTAAGAAGCTTCTATTGATTGGAGTTGACTTTCAAAATAGCCTTGAAATGGTATTGACTTTAGATTGCAAGCTAAAGGAATTTTAGTTAACCTGCTGTAAACCATGGGGGTGGTATGCCTTATAATAAGAGATAGAAAATGTAGCCTTGCTTAGAAGTATGAGCTGAAGATTTGCTACCTTGGTTTTGTAACCTTTCCTCCTTGAATTTATGTGGCTTTATCCTGAAGACTGTTTGTATAGCACAGATCCACTGTGGGAAGCATAGAAAAGGGGTAGCCAATTGGCTGTTTAGCCTGAACTGACATAAAATGGGAAACCGTCTGTACTTGAAGAGAGAGCCCTGTGTTTCCATGGGAACACTAGGGCACTGACAGTGGTCAGGACTTGAACAGAAGCCACAAAGGTGTCTGGAAGGAAGATGTTTGCAAAATCTATTATCTGCTTTCTGTCTGTCTGTCTCTCATTTGCCCATAATCTGTTTCTTTATACTTCTTTCCTGTTTTTATTTGTCATTTATTAATAACCTGTTAATTTACCTATTTTTATGTATCGGCTATCATCTACTATAATATATCATTTGTTCTGTTGAGATGATGATTTGTAACTATCTGTATCTTCATTAGTATACAAATCATTGGTTTCAGAAAGCTGCATAACACAAAAAACTCATTTGGAAAGTTTGCTATAAATTTTCAGGGAGAGTTGGTTATAATATACTGGACTTCTGGCTACCAGATGCTTAAGTAGTTCTGGATTTAGAAAATGGCAATGGTATTTTTAGTTCTGATGCTTTGGGGCCAAAAATGAGTCTAGTCAGTGCTACAAGTTGGCCTGTTGTCTGGCATATTTTAATAACAGAGTCGGTATGGATTTTCTCCTCACAGAAATCCGCCTGCCTCTGTCTCCTGAGTGCTGGGATTAAAGGTGTGCACCACCAATGCCCAGCAACATTGGTGTTTCTTACTGTCTTTTGCTGTTTGAATAAATTGATCAAATCATCGTCCTAGAGTGAGAAAATAGTGGGGTCAAGACTGAGTTCTGTAAGACAAAAGCTCAACACTCTGGTTTTCAGGATAAGTTGTATGTAAATATATGTTACACAAATGCAGCACAGACAAGTACATTATAGCCTAAACTCCTATGGAAACTGGATAGTCATCATCTATGCTGTGGTCACCCAAAGCCTGCAAGTGCTATCCTTCTTGGGTAGGGATTGGGGGCAGTCAAACAGGAAATTGTTTGCAGGGTTGTTCTCCAGAGATGAGAACGGACAGAGCCATTTTAAGACCTGGGTAAAAAGATACCCAGACAGGAAAGAATCCACTAGCAAAGTCAGGAATGCCACCACCAGCGTATCTTCTTGGGACAACATCTACCCCAGGTTTGGCCAAAGAATAGGGAGCAGTACTCGGTGTAGTTATAATAGAAAAAAAAGTTGGAGTTAAGGATACATTTTTCTTTATATCTAAAGTCTAAATCAAAAACCATAAATAGTATTTGTGCCTTGGTTTTCCCCTCTGAAATCAGTTGTTAGGAATAAGAGGGATTGCTTAGGACATTAAGGACAGAGTGCTTCAGAACTTTCTGTAAACAACCACCTAATATATAAATGTAGCTTTGCATGTGACATAGTTTATTAATAATGGGCCAGGATGTCAGCTACCGAAGCTTTTTAAAAGCACAGACCAGAGAATTTCCATTGGCCTACATGACTGTTTGCTCATCCCTGTGTGGCTACTGTGACAGGTAGATATCCTTCTGTAGTGTCTTCTTCCTTCACTCTTCCAGTTTCTGGGGGTGGTGGTCACCTGCAATTCTTCAGTATCCTCAATGGCGATGCTCAGTTGTTTTTTGTTTGTTTGTTTGTTTTTTAGTCTAGGAGAGAATTCAGAGCTGGGGAGAAAATGTCCTTAGATCTTGTTAGCCTGAAAGCAACCAGAACTTTCCAAAATAATACCAACTCTGAAGTAAGGTAGAATTCAAAGTTCGTTTCCTTTGAAATTGATCTATAGTAAACATCAAGGAAGAGTCCTCTCTCGCCTTCAAGTATTCAGATGAGAAATTAATGAAACTTGAGCTGAATTTTGGGTATAATCAACATGTGAAATGATTCTGTTTTTACCTGGACTAGAATTTGATAGTAGGATTATCAAAGCAACTACTCAATCTGGACATAGGCAGTATGGAAAAGTGCAAAGATAGCATCTTTCCTGAGACCCAAATGAGGTCCTCTTTACTGGGGCTCTCCACATGCGGCCCCTATTTGTTCTTACTCATTTTCATTTTCCTATGTGCTTGTCTTCTCTTTAATTTAGCAGGTGGTGATTTGGGAGTTTTGTCTCAGTCAGAGACAAGATGGATTATGTAGCATTACAATTAACATGAAAACTAGCTTCTTCAGTTGTAATGTTATGTTTAAAGAATGATTACTGTAAGTAAAAGCTGTTGCTTGTTAGTCAAGGTTACTATATCCCATGTAGAGACAGGTAATAAAGCAACTGCTTCTGTAGTGCTCTTGATCTGCTGTTTTGGGGATTTCTCAAGAAGCTGTGCGTATGGGATGGGAGGTTGTTTCTGTTTTGCTTTCTAGGACAGGAGGCTCTACCTTTTCTGTGAGTAGGAATGAGATGTTTAGGTTAGCCAGAATGGGTGTCATTGCTCTACCCCATTCCTTTTTACTGTCGGGAATGTTGAAGTGGGGCAGTAAATCAGGTCCTATACCCTTGCTTTGAATGTCACAGAACAAGGCACTAGAGATTTTATTTTGCTTACAAACTATTTTATTTCTTCAAAGCCAGACATTTCTCTCCATCTTGTAGTGCTATAGGTAGAGGCAACTGTAGAAGGAGGGCAAAAGAAAACTTCACAGCCAGCCTGTAATACATTACTCCATTCCCTTATTTTCTGGGGTAATCACAAGAATATTCTGAACTATGTTAACATGCCTATATTGGTTATGATGGTGAGGAAGGGAGATTTGCCGAGGAGACTTATAAGAGTAATGCCCAGCCTCAGTGATATACAGGTGATGGTTGAGTTTGCAAAGTATAGGCAGATATGATGCAGATAAGTCTTTGTGTAATTTATATAGAGCCCTTCATTCATAATGGTATAATAATATGCATTTAGTATAAAACCACTTACTAGTTGATAAGGGAATGTGTATTTCATATTTCTCTATTGCTTTTTGGCTCACGTTTAAATATTGGTCATGCATTGATTTTTTTTTTTTTTACCTAAGCAAATATGTGTTGAACAACTTTGAATAATAGGATCAGCCCTCAAATCTGTAGGGTCACATGGCCATAGTAAGCACATGTCATTAGAACAGGCTAATTTACCAACTTGACCATGAATAATAATAATTATTCTTTGGTTTGCTTTATTTTCATAGAAGCTCAAATCTTTTTTCTCTTTGAAGAGGTAGGTCAAAATGCAAGGAATAAAAATCTGAAACACCCTCAAAAAATTAAAGAGCAAAATCAATTTTATAACCCCCTCAAATTCAAGGATAAAGCCTGTGGTGCATATGCATTAGTGTGTGTGTGTGTGTGTGTGTGTGTGTGTGTGTGCATGTGCACACACACGCTTGCTTGCTTGCTTGCTTGCACTGGAGTGTTTATGCTCTTGTGTACATGTCTACATGTGCTTTTTCTTTTTAAAAATGAAGGGCAAAATTAGCATTGTGTTTTGAAGCCTACAGTTAGAAAAAACTATTACATATTAATAAATGTTATTTTGTCTGTATCCTTAGTGACCTAACCCTTAGGGAAATGTCTGACCTCCTTTGACCTCTGTGTATGAATCTCATTTGAGTTCTTATTTATTTATCATTTGAATTCTTATTTGAACAATGAATGTCTTTTAAATCTCTATGGGTCCTGTGTTCTTTTGCTTGGTTTTATCTAATGCTTTCTTTGGTCTTCGTCAGTCTTCCTTTTCTTTCTTTTTTCCTTTTCTTCTTTCTTTCTCTTTCTTTCTTTCTTTTTCTTTCTTTCTTCCTTTCTTGTTTTGTTTCGTTGTTGTTGTTTTTAGTGATACTTTAGCATTTTAAAGTCCTTGTGACTGACATGCCTGATTAGGAAAAAAAAAAAAAAAGAAATCTCATTAATGAAATGTAATGCCTGTTTATAATGGCTTTGCCAGCTTTCCAGCCCAGACACTTGTCCAATCCATTGTTGATTAAGTTAATGAGGGCCCCTGAAGATTGAGCAGGTTTCCTGTGCCTGTAGACATGAATACAATTGCACAGATCTAATTTTGGACCCTCAGGGTGGAAACTCAGCCAGAAGTGGCCATAGATAAGTATGTATTGAACGAATGAGTTTTTATATAACATGAATGCCTATGATTTTTTGGGGAGGGGTAGTAAAGGAAAATGTTAAAGTAATTGATACACAATGTTTCTTTTATAAATCTCTAATTGTAAAGCAAACAAAAATTAGGTACAAGTGTTGTTATATTTTATCATACTCCATTAAATGACCAACTCTATCCATTGAAACTATCCTGAATGCTTTCTCTTTTCCCTTCTCTTACAGGTGACATTACACAAAAGGGATATGAAAAGAAGAGGTCAAAATTAATTGGAGCCTACCTTCCCCAGCCTCCAAGTATGTAAAACTTGAGTAGTATAAATTGTCTAGTTTTAAAAGTTAATAGCCATATTTGAAAGAGGGTTTTCCTTCACTATGGAATCTGCCTGAAGAGTGCTTATTTGACACCTGAATTCTCCACAACCGGCTTATTTGTATAATTACTCATAGATTTTTTTGAATATTTAAAGCATATGTAACTTTTCTATAAATATACCTAATACAGTTTAATAGATATTTATCTGTAGATGGGGATCAATGATACACTGGTGTCTTTGAAACACTGTAATTATAAAAATAGGAGCACTTGGGTTTAGACATGCTTTTTGACTTGATGAGTTAATTATTACTATTAGTTATGGTTTAAATTAATACAAGATTTGAGACTATTAGAAAATGTTGTGGTAACTTGACTCAGAGGATATGATTGTAAAGGTTTGGTGTTTTTAGTGATGATGGTAAAATATACATTACTTATTCTTGCAAAGTGCTTCCTGTCACTATTGTTTCATGTATGGCTTTGGAGAATTTCTGTACTTGAACTAGATTGTAACAATCTTAAGAAAAAGAAAATGCAGCTTTATTAGCATGGATTCCCTGTGTCAGATCATATCACTTAGAGGGTAACCTTAAGTGTTTGTTAGGCTTTAGAAATTGCTCAAAGCAAATGCAAACAATATCCCTCCTCAAGGTAAAAGGCTAATAACATATCTGTTAAAGGTAAAAACTGAAACTGCAGTTTCTGTGGATGAAACAAAACTTAAGAAACTTAAAGTGCATTGTGCAAAAACCCCATTTCTATTTCCTCCAGAATGTGACACCCCAGTGTTATAGAATGGCAGAAAAAAAAAAAAAGCTTTGTGGCTACTAAACTTGATATCAGGAGTCTGCTGTATGTATAGTTCTGCTTGTTATGTCTTTTCATGTGATATTTAAGGAAGTTGGTGTTAAAGTGGTTCTTTGTGTGTTAGCTGAGGGACTGATTTCTTTTGGCTTATGAAGGGAAGAAGCATGGTTTTATTTGAAAGAAAAAAAGTAAATAGGCTGGTAAAGAGTTTAAGGGCAGGTCCTGGGGGAAGGTATTTCTTTAGTATAGCTGCCCTTTGTGTGATTGTCAGAAAGGCCTGGTCATTTGGTGATGTCTCTGTGTGTCTGCACTGTCCTTGAGGAAGGCTACTTGCTTAATTTGATGAGCTGTTGAATATTGATTTGCCATACCAAACAGAAATGAAAAAGGAGCTTACCTGGGTTCTGTAGTCTTCACTGGACCGGGTCTGGCTGGGGGCAGAGGGTTTTCTGCACCTAGTGGAGCCTTTGTTGGTCTGTGTGCTGTTTCTGCATGGGGTCGGCAGCTCTGCTCAGCGCTGTAACAAATTTAAAAAAAACTAAAGTCTGAATTAATTAGTTTTTTTTCAACTTGTTACAGCAGCGAATGGAGCTGCCGTGGTTCGGTGTAGACTGCAGCCCGGGGAAGGAGTGCCGAGGAGACCTTTCCGCTCCACCCACATCGGGGTGTGCGACATCCGAGAAGCTGCAGCCAGGGAGCGGGCTGCCAGTGCAGCAGGGAATCGGCCTCTGTTTTACTTTCGTTTCGGTGAGCCCTGAATCCCTGAGAGAGACCAGCCCCTGGGAAGAGTACATTTTTGGAAGTCTTTCCCCATGTATAGGGCTGACACTAAAGGCACTAGAGGTTTGGTCCCCCAAGAGAATACCTACCATGCACCTTGAGTTCAGAACTTGTATGCATGGATAATGACTGTCCCAGAATCAGGGTACTTTCTACATTTGCTGTTAATTTAGAATGCCCTGTCTACAACTCATCAACTCTTGCTCTTCTTTTTCCTCCTTAAAGTTGTTGCACTGTTTTGCCTTAGAGACAGAGAGCTAAGAAGAAGATAAATAATTAAATCTTGACCTCTGAGATGTGTTAAAGGGAGAGACTTTGAGACCTTCATGCTCTTACTCCTATCATTAAGGATCAAAGTGTTGGGTTACTTAAATAGACCAAAGTAATCTTAGAGTAGATGGTTTCAAAGTCAGTGTTCTTCTAAAGGTTTGGACCATTTTTTTCTTTTTTTGAATTTAAGAAATTTAAGAAGCAGAAGGTGACTTTATGTACTCTTTAGTATAATAAGAACATTTAAAACAGGAGCATATATATTTGCAAACTGGATTTATAGGTATATGTTCTGGGTTATACCTGTGATAGAATGCATTGTTTATGTGCTAATAAATAGGCTGGGCTTATAGTTCAGTAGTAGAACACCTGCTGAGTGTGTGAGAGGTCCTGAGTTTGATCTCTAATACACCAAACAAATCACATAAAATTATTGAAGTGAACCTCAATATTTAGAAGTGGACATCTCAGCTGTCTCCCATCTCTGCCTGTATTTGTCCTCTCAGTGACCTTGTTGACAGTTACCATGATTTTGTTGAAATGGACAGAGGTTTGGAGAATAGGTGACTGAGTTGGATGCTAACTGTAGATTCCACTATGGTTTCTTGCCACCATTCGCTACATGTGTTGTGCTATCTACTTAGAACTCTTCTGTTCCTTCACCTCTTCATGGATAGCTAAAAGTTGTGCTCCTCCATGTTTCCCAGAAATCTGGTTTCACCTGCAGCATCCATCACCCAGTGTTTAATAGGGTTGCCTGTATACACTGAGCAGTCCTGCCTGCCAGCAGTCTCCAAACTGTAATGTAATAAAAACTGAATATTTTGAGTTGTGAACACCATCTAACTCTCCTGTGATATGGGAGAGGGTGTCATTTTAGGATGAAGGATTTGGTTTTTTTGGTAGTTACTATTCTATTGCTATGAAGAAACACCATGGCCAAGGCAACTCTTTTGAAAGAAAACATTTAATTGGATGCTTCTTACAGTTTTAGAGGTGGGAAGCAGGCTGAACAGTAGCTTAAAGCTTTATCTGATCTGCATCCTGATCTGCAGGCAGGTAGAGGGGGAAGAAGATCCTGGCATGAGATTTTGAAACCTCAGAGCTCACTCACAGTGACACACCTCCAGCAAGGTCACATCTTCCCAAACAGTACATGTTCTAGGTTATGCCTCTGGTGACTAAGCATTCAAATATATGAGCCTAAGGAGACCATTCTCATTCAAACTACTCCACTTCCTAGCAAAAGCTTTTTATAGATATCCTCCTTCTGAAAAGTTGCCATTGCATGAACACTCATTATCATCAGGATTTAGGAAGATATTGAGGAAAGCAGGTGTTTCTAAAGCTGGGAGCTCTTTCTTGATCAGCCCATCTGGGAAGTTATTCTGTCACAATAGGATCTGTATGAAGCTTGTAGTTGAATGTGCCTGTGTAATTTACCAGATATAAGTTAAGATTTCCCTAAAAAGTCTTCCAAAAATATTTCTGAGGTGTTTGGGACACATGGTTATGAATTAGAGTGCCATAAGGTGAAATTAGGATACTGGAGGCAGAGTTGCCAGGCTTCGGTTCCTTCCTAGTGAGAATGCTTACGACACAGTTTCTTATCCAGGATTTTTACTTCTCAGGGCATCAACACTGTGAGAGGAATGGTGGTGATGCACCTGCTAAGGAAGATGTCTTCTCTTGGTTGAGCACAATGCTGAGTGTATACCTCCATTCAGATAGGGAACAGTGTAGTGGAAGTTATAAAGTCAGATGAGAATTAAATAAGAGAAATAATTGGGTTGAAAATTATTTTATAAGAGAAGGTGCTACTTAAGAGAATTGTTGATACTTCCTCTTATACTTTTTAGTAAGGAAATGAGGGTTTCAAAATGATCCTTTGTTGCCCACTAAACCAGATCAAATTGACAAAAATAGAAAATAAAGCCAGCTACCTAGCACTGTTCTCATAGGAGTTTTTATAACACATATAGACTGCATAGAGAGTCTTTGCTACTTTTAGAAGATTTACTTGGTAACAAAATTTCAATGTTAATTGTAAATAGTAAACTATCCCTAATCCAAATAACCACCTCCTTTCTTATAATATGTGTATTGGCTAGGTGTTATTTTGCCTGTATTAAGTTTTCTTTAATGTTCAGCTCAAATTCTACTTGTTGAAGGATTTTTCACCAGGTCCTTCTAGGCAGGACAGCCCTAGGCAGGGCCCTCAACGGGGGCTCTGCAAAGTCCACCAAATCTTCCTTTGCTGGTCCTGGGCCCTTCCCCATGTGTCCAGGGCCAGAGTGTAACCCTTTATGTGGGATGGGCTCTCAAAATCCCTTCTTACACCAGGGAAAAATACTAATCCACCACCAGAGACTCCCTGGAGTGCAGAGGCCTCCTTATTGACATCCATGTTCAGGGGTCTGGATCAGTCTTGTACTGTAGGCCCCACTCTTACGATCTGTTTGTATAATATTTCCAAGAAGTTGTAGTTTGGTATTCTGTCCTCACCCTACAATAGTAAGATATGAGTTGACTGAGGATCTCTTGTCTCTTGTACACAGTAAGCACAATGCACATGAAGGCAAGTTTACCCAGTTCAAGAATTTGCACATAGCAAGAAGAGGTAGAACAAGGCAGTGACTGCTTTCTCCAGGACCCTGAGTTCTTTCCTCCCCACTCCTATGCCCACTAAACTCCTATCATACCAGGGAGGCTCAGCAAGGCCACTGTTGCCTTGCCAGTAGAACAGTAAGAAAGCACTCCCAACAAATGTTGTAGCCAAGGTTAGTACCAAAAGCGTTCACTGCTCAGGTATACATAGTGCTTTTGCACAAGCCTTCTGCACCAGGCTTCCCTTATCTGTAGTAACAATTCTGTTCTTATTTCTGATTTGGATGAATCTAAATGTCATTTGGCCATATTAGTGCTAATCAGTAACAGAAATGGCACTCAAACAAAACAAATAAACATATAATGCAGGGTAGCAGTTTAATGCAAATGTCAAATAGTCACAGGTTTCAGATCATTCATACTTTGCTAGTTCATGGATTCCCCATCAACATACTGTAACAGGAAAATGATTACAAAACAAATGTATGATAGTACATGGTAGCTCTGTGCTAGTAAAAGGTGAGCTGGAAGTAACAGTGAAAGTAATGTAAGAATTCAGTTTACATGGTAGGGTAGGTACTAAGATGCTCAGAATGAAGTCTCAATTTTCTGTTTTGTGGTATCCTCATCTGTGTTAGTGCAAAGCAAATGTAGAAAGTGCCTTACCTAATCATACAAGTACTTTTTACTTCCTGAGTAATTCCTTAATTATACTTATTGTAAAAATAGGGCTTGCTGTGTGATCCCGAGACTACAATGAGATGCTAGAAGACAGTGGGACTTGATTCAGTTTTGGACAGTCTGAAAATAAGAAAAATTCTCCAGCAATTTCACAGAGTACCTCAGATAGGCTCCACATGCCTTATGGCCTATGGTAGCCTTGGAGCTCCAGCAGGGAACTTATTTTCAGTGCCAGGGAAGAAGAGAGTGAGTTCCAGTGGATACCCTGGGAGCACTTCAGAGGTTTTGTTCATTGTAGTTTTCCATGGCACATTTGAAATCCTAGATATAGAGGCAGAGTAATTCATTGAAGGTATTCAGTGTTCAAAGTATTCAGACCAGTTTGGATCAAGGTCTTCTTATCTTAGATCACAAATAATATTTTTAAAATATTCCTCATGTATCTGACATTTTAAATTATATTTCAAATCAAAGACTTTTAGTATATTTCTTTTATAATATAAATTTAGACATCCCTTCCCATAATATTGTGTCTTAAGTAACTCAAGGCTTTCTTTCCTCCCTTGTGGCCTCTAACCTATTGAGTTGCAAATTAGAAAGACAGATTGGTGTCCCACCTGTTCCTGTTCTTAGGGATAACATAGGGATTATTCTGGTGTCTAGTGTCTGTCTGAGCACAGTGTTCACGGAAGACACTACATTGTTTGCTCATCTGCAATGGTTAGGTGTAACAACTATAACAGAAACTTTTGTTGAGGAGTCCTTTAATGTCAATCCATAAGTAATTGACAAATAAATAATGCTATTCCTGCTTTTTTCCCTCACTTTTTTCTTCAGATTTCCAAACCTGTTGGTTAGGTGAGGCATTTAAAGAGGTGAAATTAGTGAGACAAGGCAAAACTTGGGAAGAAACACAATTCTTGATTGACTCGGAAGATCAGCTGGAGAGGAAGGTGGGCAACAGTTGGAGATGTCTTTGGTTCCAGATAGATGAGTTTGGTGCTTGCTTTTGTGGTCATCAGGGCCAGAAAGTGAGGTGACTAGAATTCTTTGTGCTTGGGGGAGAGGTATCTGTGAGCAACTGGGAGGGGCCCTTAGCGCAAACACAAAGGTGATTCTGAATGAAAAGAAAGCTTAGATCTAAGAGTGGCACAGTGTAAAGATAACTTTTCCGCCACCCTCCTGAGTTCTGCCAGCACACCCAAATAAGAGAGAGTCTTATTTAAACTGCAATGCTGTTGGCCAATGACTAGGATTTCTTATCTGCTAGCTCTGTCTTAAGTATCAACCATAACCATTAATCTAT